GCTTCACAGTAGGCAAGGTGTTCTTTTCATCATAGGCCTTGTTCTTCCTCCTCCAAACATAGCGTTGATCCATGGGCCCAAACAGTTCTAATTTTGTTTCATCAGTCCACAGAACACTATCCCACAACTTTTGTGGTTTGTCCACATGGCTTTTGGCATACTGCAGTCGACTCTTCTTATTCTTTGGAGACAGCAAGGGGGTACGCCTGGGAGTTCTGGCACGGAGGCCTTCATTACGCAGTGTGCGTCTTATTGTCTGGGCTGAAACTTCTGTACCCACATCTGACAAATCTTTTCTCAGTTCCTCAGCAGTCACACGGGGACTTCTCTCCACTCTACGCTTCAGGTAGCGCACAGCAGTCGAAGTCAGCATCTTCTTTCTGCCACGACCAGTAGCGTTTCAAACAGTGCCCTTTGCCTTGAATTTGCGAATGATGCTTCCTAAGGTGTCTCTTGGTATGTTTAACATCTTTGCAATCTTCTTATAGCCATTGCCCTTCCTGTGAAGAGAAATCACCTCTTCTCTTGTCTTCCTGGACCATTCTCTTGCCTTCACCATGTTTGTAACCACACCAGTAAATGTCTAGAAGGAGCTGAGTATCACAGTCATTTTAAAGCTGCCTAATTGGTGCTTATTATGCTTGATTGCTGCTCGGTGACATCCACAGGTGTTTTCAATACCTGATGGAAAGCACCTGTATGAACCTCTGTTCTTCAGAGTGGTAGTCTTTAAGGGGTTGAATAATTGTGGCAATGAAGAAACCACATAAGAACCATTTACTACTGTATTACATAAACAATTGATGTCATTTTAGTTGCATTTGGGTAGTTAAAACGTCCTTGTATAGGATTTTTTGATACTGTCCACCAGTCAGTAGTCCCTAATCACCGCCAGCATTGGGGGTTATAATTTTGGACACAACTGTAAATGCACTTGTAAGCAAAGTAATTCTGTGCTATAAGTAAATTGTGTAAAAAAAAAAAAATGTGAAAACTTCCCCAAAGTAGTACAATGTTACTATGGTAACATTGTATCACTTTGGTCATAGTCAAATATGAAAAAAAAATCTTTAAAAAAATAAAACAAATGTAATAAAAAATTAAAAATAATAAAAAAAATAAAACAATATATTATATTTTTTTTTTTTCATACTGTCACCAGTCAGTGTCCCTGATCACCGCCATGCAAGTTATATGATGATGCTGTACTGCACTGGTGACAGTATGTAAAAAATAATTAGTGAAAATAATTTTTTTCATTTTTTCATTTTTTCAAACTCGCCATTCCTCTTATGAAGTACGTCGGACTGTCTACTTTACAAAAAGGGGTCATTTGGGGGATATCTGTACTGTTCTGACATTCTTGGACCTCAAGAAATTAGATTGTCTGTCAGTACTTCAGGATTGATCAATATTCAGATCTATACCATAGTTTGTGAACTCTATAACTTTCCTACAAACTAAAAAATACATCCTAATTTGGGTTATTTTCACCAAAGACATGTAGCAGAATACATCTTGGCCTAAATTTATGAAGAACAATTATTTATTTGTAAACTTTTATAACAGAAACAAAGAAAAATGTGTTTTTTCTTCAAAATTTTTGGTCTTTTTTTGTTAATTTAGCAAAAAGTAAAAACCCCAGCGGTGGTGATTAAATACCACCAAAAGAAAGCTCTAGTTGTGTGAAGAAAATGATAAAATTTTAGTTTGGGTACAATGTTGTATGAGCGCAATTGTCATTCAAAGTGTGAAAGCGCTGAAACCTGAAAAAATGGCCTGGGCAGGAAGGTGTAAAATTGCCCAGTATTGAATTGGTTCAATCCCAGAGGAATGGACTGGCAGGGAAGCTCCGGGAAGGTAAGTACACATGGGTGAAATGGTGAACTAGTAAGAGATTATGTAAACTTTCCCTGAATGGACAAAGGGAGAGAGTCTCCTTAAAGCAGGGGATGCACAGATAAGTAATTATTCTTATTTACATATTATCAGCCCTCCCAGTTTTTGAAAATGAACAAAAGTGTTAATGGGTTATACCTACAAATCTTAAGAACCGTGCCATTAGAGACTATACAAACATTTTTGCTTAGATTGGAAGTCTTTATTAAGGCAAAGAGTAACGTGCAGTGTTTCATTCTTCACATAACACTAGTTTCCAAATATTTCACTCTAAATGATTCTGCGTATTCGGAGGCTGCATACACTATCACACCTTATTACCATAGTTTGTATACAATCAATACTCTTCTTCACAGTCTAATCATATTTAGTTGTCATCTCCTATCACTATCTCCTTTAATGAACCATTATCGCTATCTCATCTACAAAAATCATTAGAATGGGACGAGTGTTTTTCTGGGTGTGCAGCACAGAATGTTAAATGTACGATTGTTCAAACAAAGTTTCTTTTCTTATCACTGATTGCTCAGGCTAGGTTTGATTGCTGATACATATAAACTCGTCAGTTTAATAACATTAAATTGGATTTTGTTTTGATGCTGCTAAGAGCTAAAATTCCAATTTGTTGCTTATTGGGCACATTGTTGTCTAAGTGACAAAGTGCAGAAGGGATCCCCTGGGGGACTAAGAGTGGTACATGATGTCCCATCTCTAAAGTCAGAACAGATAAATGCCCCCCTCCCCTTGTTTATTGTACAACCTCTACTACCAATAAGTGTTAAAGTGGTTCTAAAGGCTAAAATCTTTTTTTATTTTACCCTAACGCATTCGATGCATTAAAACGATTCTAAAAGTTCATTTTTTTGGTAAAATAATAAACATGTCTATACTTACCTGCTGTGTGCAGTGGTTTTGCACAGAGCAGCCTGGATCCTCCTCTTCCTGAGTCCCCAGCAGGCTCTTTTGGCTCCTCCTGTCGGTACGGTGCCCCCACAGCAAGCCAATTGCTATGGGGCACCCGCTGCTCTATGTGGCCATACACACATGGAGCCGCGGCTTGGCCTCACCCCCTCTCTCTCCTCATTGGCTGACTGGCAACAGGAGGCAAAGATTCAGGACAGCCGAGGCTGTCATTCACATCGTTGGAGTGCAATGGGGTTCAGGTAAGTATTGAAGGGGTTAGGAGCACTGCTGTACACAGAAGGTTTTTTTACCTTTATGCATAGAATGCATGAAAGTAAAAAACCTTCAGCCTTTACAACCATTTTAAGATAAAAAACCTTCTGCATGCAGTCCCCCAGTCCCCCATTATCCTGACCTGAGCCCAATCTCAATCCAGCAATGTGCATAAGAGCAGCAGCTCTCTACACTCTCTCCTTCCTCTTAGGTTCAGACACAGCAACTTAAGCTATTGGCTTCTGCTGCCGTAAATCACAGCCAGTGGGGAGGGAGCGGAGGGCAAGGAAGAGCTGTGCTCCTTGTTTCAGTGGTTGCACAGAGTGTGGCTTGGTTGCAAGCCTGCATGAGTGCCCCCATAGCAAGCTGCTTGCTATGGGGGTATTCCATACAATCACTTTCATATATGGTCTATATGGTCTACCTACGACTGCCGGTTTCATCTTCACTGTGAAGTTAATCTACTAAAGGCAAATAGGCTGTTCACTTTGCAAGTGAAGTTGTGCTTTGCATGGTAATTTACCCCAGAGCTTAGTGAATGTGGTGAAATTTCACTTTGCAAAGAATACCCAATTGTGTGCAAAAAAAATTAAAAAACAGCATTTTTGTTTGAACATGATTGGATGATGGTGGCCAGCAAAGCTTCACCTCATTCACTAAGCTATGAGGAAAATTCCCATGGAAAATGTAACTTTCATTGCAAAGTGAACAATCTATTTGTCTTTAGTAATTTAAACCCATTGGATCCAAATATTGATCTTACAGACAGCATATAAAGGATATTGAAGTATACAAGGGCTCTGATTAGCATCTCATGGGCATGAAGAAGTCTCTAAGGGCACGTATGGTTAAGTACAAGAGGTACAAGAAAAACAGAAGCTCAAGATAAAATGTGGAGACACTATGGGGTTGATTTACTTACGGCAAAAAGACTGTGCATTCTACAAGCGCAATTGCTCCAGAGCTTTGTAAATGAGGTAAGACTTCACTTTGTGAGGAATATCCAATCAGATGCAAAGAAACTTTTTTCGCTTAAACATGATTGGATGTAAATCGACCTATGAGAGTTTATTTATAAAACATTAAGGCCAATGCATTTTGGTGCTTCTAACAAACCCCGTATTGGGGTTTAGAAGCTGGCTAGTATTTGCATGGTCATAGACTTTAAGGGTTAAAATTATAAATATTAAATTCACAGTATTAAAAGCAAGCTCCAGCAGATTTGCAATCAGCTGCTGAAGACTCTTCTTTAATACTAATAAAAAAGCCCTTCGAAACCCCTAAAACATGTTGGATTGTCCCTTTTGACAATTCATGATAAAATAAACTCATCATGTTTTTTGGAATTTGGTCTGGTTTTCCTGGGTTTTTTCTATATCTCTTGTTTTATCTTCACTGTTAGTTCCCCACTTTCTTGGTTCCAGAATGTAGGGTCCACTGCCTAATTTTCAGAATATTATCAGAATTATCAGAATGAAACTCCCCTTTTTCCTTGCTACAGCCCCTATACAGTACTTTGTAAATATGTTCCTAGTCACTGAGAAGACCTCATGTCTCCTTACCTGTTATTCTCCTTCCCAGGTATCTGTACATGGTTCCCAGCTACATACCAGTGTCAATGCACTAGATAAGATAGCTCCTCTGCATCTCCAGGATTTCCAGGATGCCACATGGAACACCAATCATCTGTCTGCTCTGAGCTCATTCTGTTCTACCTTTACTGACAATTTGAAAGCAAGCTTATGTACAGAATATCATTCATGCAGCAATTCTTGGCAGCCTTCCAAGTTTAGAATTCTAAAGAAGCATTTCTTCTTATTTTCTTTCTTAGTAGGAGTTTTAATCTGAAATAGTTAGTTTCCCCTTCTCTCCAGTAAAGTCTGACTTTTTGAACAGTTCATCTAGTAGTTATAAATGTGTTAAAGCTGAATTCCAGCCACAAACACTTTCATTTAAAGGAGAAGTATGGCCAAAGCTCTTGGCCATACTTCTCCAGAGTGCACTCTGATGCTTGGGATCTAGATTCAGCCAATGGCTGGTTAAAGACGTCACGCAGAGCTGGTAAAGGATCTGCAGGGATCCCAACAATAATGTTGGGATACACCCAGATACCTTACAGGCAGCTGGCTCAGTCTTTTTGTGTGCTGTTGAGAGGCTGAGTCAGCTGCTCCTGCCACATTCACAGGCTGGCACTCCAGTGAGCAGTGGAGGGCCAGAAAACAAAACAATGACTGACAATCACCACTCTTTATTCAGAGCAGACCCAAAAATTGAGCGATCACTGGCATTTGATAGCTCATTTCTCGGTGTGCAGCCAGCAGGGGACAGCTGCAACATCGAATCAATGCTGCAGTTACCTAAGTGAGTATGTATGTTTATTCTTTTTCATTCCCACACTTCTATTTTAAGTATATTTTCAAATCACCACAAAGAATATTTTGTGTGCACACAAATGCCTTTGCAAACTAAGTTTTACCATATAAAAGTAGCAGCTACATTATCACTGTTCTGCACATATCCTGTGCAGAGAGCAGAGCTGTGGGAGGAACCCAGTAGGACCACCCACTACAGGCTGCATTGCAGACAACTACTGAAGGGGGAAGAGGCAAGACCAGTTCCCCTACACAAGGAGCGAGAGCAGGAGTGACTGGTCTTTATTACATGAACCCCCTGCACAGAGGCAAAGTTTCACACAAAAATTACCGAACAGATTTGGAGGATATATAGACAAAGCACACCACAATGCAAGCAAGAATACACAAGCTTCTGGGTATTTAAACAAAATTTACTTTATGAGGAGTTGGTCTTAATTGCTCAAGAACTCTGACTCACATGTCCCCCACAGAGACACAATATACTGTGTATATATATATATATATATATATATACACACACACAAACTATGTTGCCAAAAGTATTGGGGTACCCCTCCAAATCATTGGATTCTGGTGTTCCAATCACCTCCATGGCCACAGGTGTGTAAAATCAAGCACCTAGGCATGCAGACTGCTTCTACAAACATTTGTGAAAGAATGGGTCACTCTCAGGAGCTCAGTGATTTCAAGAGTGGTACTATGATAGGTTGTGCACCTGTGCAATAAGTCCATCCGTGAAATTTCCTTGCTACTAAATATTCCACGGTCAACTGTTAGCGGTATTATAACAAAGTGGAAGCAACTGGGAACAACAGAAACTCAGCCAGGAAGTGGTAGGCCACGTAAAATGCCAGAGGGGGGTCACACTGTGCAGAAGTCGCCAGAGTCAATAGTCTGCAGAGTCAATAGCTGAAGACCTCCAAACTTCATGTGGCCTTCAGAGTAGCACAACAACAGCGCGTAGAGAGCTTCATGGAATGGGTTTCCATGGCTGAGGAGCTGCATCCAAGCCTTAAATCACCAAGCACAATGCAAAGCATTGGATGCAGTGGTGTAAAGCAGTACTCAGTAGATACGTGTTTTCTGGAGTGACGAATCACGTGTCTCTGTCTGGCAATCTGATGGATGTGTCTCGGTTTGGCGGTTGCTAGGAGAACGGTACTTGCCTGACTGAATTGTGCCAAGTGTACAGTTTGGTGAAGAGGGGATGATGGTGGGGGGGTTGTTTTTCAGGGGTTGGGCCTGGCCCCTTAGTTCCAGTGAAGGGAACTCTTAAGGCTTCAGCATACTAAGGCATTTTGGACAATTTCATGCTCCCAACTTTGTGGGATCAGTTTGGGGATGGCTCCTTCCTTTTCCAACATGACTGCACAAAGCAAGGTCCATAAAGACATGGATAAGTGAGTCTGAGGTGGAGGAACTTGATTGGCCTGCACAGAGTCCTGACCTCAACACGATAGAACACCTTTGGTGTGAATTAAAGCGGAGACTGTGAGCCAGGCCTTCTCATCGGACATCAGTGCCTGATCTCACAAATGCGCTTCTGGAAAAATGGTCAAACATTCCAATAGACACCCTCCTAAACCTTGTGAACAGCCTTCCCAGAAGAGCTGAAGCTATTATAGATACAAAGGGTGGGCCAACTCAATAATGAACCTTATGGACTAAGACTGGGATGGCATTAAGGTTCAGGCGTCCCAATACTCTTGGCAATATAGAATATATATATATATATATAGAGATATATATATATAGATATATATACAGTATATATATTATATATATATATATATATATACATACACACACATATTTAGATGTTTTTTTCCTGTGGTACAAAGAACAGATGTACCAATAGGGGCTGGTGATGCAAGCAATACTCCAGAGTAGCATCCATGAGAATTAAAAAGCAATAATAGGCTTTTCGCTTGTTTCCTGCTTTGGCCCTGCCTACCTTTTTCTCAAGGATAGTTATCTTGGGAATAGGGTAAGTACACCCCAAGACTATTTAACTTGTCCTAAATTATTCCATAACAGAATAGTACATATTGTACCATATAACCTCCCAACCCCTCTTGGGTGCAATATTATCGACTAATATGGAAGATGAGATTCCAAGCTTACAGTCGATGTTTCAGCAACTCTAGAAGGCTGCATGGATCAATTTCTGACATGCCACAATGTAAAATAGTATTAAAGAAGCTGTACATTTTGTCAATAAAAAGCAGTCTTTGAGCTCAGAGTCAGGTGAATTTTGCTTAGGCAGATATTATGTCATCAGTCTACTGTAGGCAGGTGGAAGCATTTTTTCAGTCTCCTCTCCTCCTGTGAACAGACTTTAACATTGATACTTTGTAGGAAGTCACAAGATGAGAGGCTGCAAACGTGATGGTAATCTGCATCAAATATTTGTAAATAGGGATGAGTTTTTTGTTAAACTTGGGTTTGGTCTGAACTCATGTTGAGCTGAACCTTGAAGGAAGCTGTCAGTGCTGGCCAAATCAGCTAAGACTAAAGCATTCCTCGCTCCACAACTGCATGTACACAAAGGGACGTGATTGCTTGTGACATCATTGAACAAATATGGCCATATATATGGCAATGTGACCATATTAGGTCAATGATGTCATAAGCATGCCCGACCCAGGGAATGCCTCAACTGCAGCTGATTGGGACAGCACTGACAGCTTCCTCCTGGGTTTAGCTGAACATTGATTTGGACTGAACCCAAACTCATCCCTATTTGTGAACATAACCAAGAACTACATAGGTACCAGGATTCATATGACTGGATATTTGAGCTTGCATTTCAGGTCAAGCAGCATGGTAGATACAAAAATTGTCTTGTGTCTGGACAAAGATGGTACTTTCCTTTTGGAAATAAAGGCAAATTAAAGCAAATTAAAGCATTGTCATGAGGAGTAGTGATAGGCCGAACAGCCCCCTGTTCATTTCGCGGTCAAACATTAGAACCTACTGAAAGTTCGACTGCAAACTTCAAACAGGGACAATTTACTATCTTACCTCATCTGTGTATGTGGTAAGATACAGCTCAGCTACTAAAATACCACATGAGTTATATTATTAAGTCATGCGGCATTTTAGTAGTGAAACATAATTTTATTTTTTTTTTCCCTGCAATAAATGCATGCTGTTTTGAGGGCATTAGAAGGAATAGGATTACTTCTTTCGAGTCTAACTCGACTGGTAAGAACTATTGTATTGATACTTTTATTACTTGTAATAACAAATATGTTGCTTATTTGTTGGAATGTTCCTGTACAAAACAGTACATAGGGAGGACCCAGGGGCGGACTGACCATTTGGAAACTCGGGAACTGCCCGAGGGCCCGGGGTCAGTAAGGGGCCCCATGAGATGCCCCTGGTACCTTTTTCATAGGCTTTTTTGAGTTTGGTCAAGGACACAGGGCCCCCATGATCCCCTATTGCCCGTGGGCCCCATGAGTTGTCAGTCCGCCCCTGGGAGGACCACTAGGAGACTGAGGGACCTTTTAAGATTTATATAATAACATTTATATAATATTAAAAAAGGGTTTAAAAAACATTCCCTTTCAAAACATTTTATAGAGTGCCACAGTAGGACCCTACTGGCATTACGTTTGCCTGGATTGATATTATTTATCCTCATTGGCATGGATGTAATAAGCGTAATTTGGTATCCATGTTAGAGACCCATTGGATACACAAGATGAGGTCCCTAACCCCTCTAGGTCTCAATGCAGATATAGATATAAATTGTTTCATTGATATTAGTTGATTGATTTATTCTTTAAGTGGACTGCTTGTTATTTGGCATAACATTTTTTTTTTTAATTTTTTAACTTTTTCTTTTTACCCGGTTGATTTCTTATAATGGTGCTTGACTGAATATAAATAGTTTAAGAATAAATTTGAATAATCCTTTTGTTTTGATTTTTGAGCCTGAACCTTTTTTATTCGGATAGTTGTTTTTTTATAATGTCTGTCACTTTGGGCTTGGGCTTTGATCTACAACAAAATGGCATGTGTTCGTTCCTGCGACGTTCACAGGTTATTTAAAGAGGCTGTGCATGATGTCTGCAGTAGGTGTATCCCCTGAAGATGTACTGGTGCATGAAATGCATAAGGAGGGGCCTTATGTGCTGAAGTCACACCACCATATCCTTTGTTTGAAATGGCGGCCATTTGAGTAAGTTTGACTGCTGGAGGTTTTAATGTTCATTCCACATGGAACATTCATTTATTCATTGTTTTACTTACCTGGCTTACAATAAACATACTACACCATGAGATGAATTCTGGGCTCCGTGTGGTGAGCTACCTCTTGCAGGATTTCCAGCTGTCTGTGGTAGTACCTGGGAAGACGAGTGTTCTGCTAAGGTTATAATATGCATTGGGCGCTATTACAATTAAATGTCTGGTGAGTGCATAGTGGTGGAGGAGTCACCCAGAGAGATTTCTCCCGTGTGATCATTTGCACAGATAAATTGTTATTCATGAAGAGTTTATTCCTAAATTTGGACATTCTCTTTGATTGAGCACTTTATTTCGATCACCATATATATAATTTGTTTGTGGGGACAAGGACCTCTTCCTCACAACCCCAGCCGGTGGTTGTGGGGGTATGCCTATGTGAATTAGTATATGGTACATGGTACCACTACCCATTCACAAAAAAAAAAAATAGCAAAAAATGACAGGAGACAAGTCCTTTATTAAAAACAAAAATAACAAAAATGTCCCAAGAAGTAGATGCAACGTCAATCACGATACCCACCACCACTGCCGACCCAAGAAAAGAAAAGAAAAATGCTTCACTCTCCACGCTGGCTTCCCCCATCTGACAGCTGTGCTGGGGTGACAGTTCTTAAATATTTTGATGATGATGATGTCACAAGGGGTAGGGTTACGCCCACCCCCTTGTGACATCATTATGCGCTGTGATTGGCCAAAGCATTGCACCTGACCTGTGGTTTGATTCATTGCTTTGGCCAATCACAATGTGCTGTCAGAGCGCAGTGCATTGTGGGGCACGGTGGGCAAACAGACGCCCTTATCGTTCACGTGTTCAGCGAATACACGTACGGCTCATGTTCGCGTCGAACTTACGTTCAACTCGAACATGAAGCCCATCACTAATGAGGAGTACTGTGACCTCAGTGAGAGGAAATATATACCTGTAAGTATTAGAAACCTGTTGGATACACAAGATGAGGTCCCTAACCCCTCTAGGTCTCAATGTAGATATAGATATAAATTGTTTCATTGATACTAGTTGATTGATTTATTCTTTAAGTAGACTGCACACTTACACATTAGTTATCATGCATCACATAACCTGAAAATAAATAACTAGTGCAAGGTCCACCTTTACTGATGCTGGATGTTTTATAGACTGGTAATAGTACACATGGGATAATTACAGCTAAGAATCACCACCTTGTACACCTAGCATGTTGGACTGATTATTATTATTATACAGGATTTATATAGCGCCAACAGTTTGCGCAGCGCTTTACAAAATGAAGGTAGACATTACAATTACAATACAATTTGGTACAAGAGGAAACAGAGATCCCTTTCATTAGAGCTTACAATCTAGGAGGAAGGGTTGAGTGATACAAAAGGTAATAGCTTTGGGGGGGATGAGCTGATGGAGGAAATAAATGGCGGTTTACTAGGTAGAAGCAGGATAGACTTCTTTAAAGAGAAAGGTTTTTAGGGATCGTCTAAAGGTGGATAGATTAAAAGATAGCCGGACAAGTTGGGGTAGAGAATTCCATAGGATGGAAGAAGCTCGGGAGAAGTCCTGGAGGCGAGCATGGGAGGAGGTGACACGGGAACTAGAGAGCAGAAGGTCTTGGGAGGATTGAAGAGAGCGGTTCGGTTGATATTTTGAGACCAGGTTGGTGATGTAGCTGGGGCAGGGTTGTGGATGGCTTTGTAAGTTGTTCTTAGTATTTTGAATGTTATTAGTTTATTCGACTGATAAAGATTTAGGAAAGAAGCCCATATGATTATTTAATTTCTACATGATTTTTTAAATGTTTTTAAAAACTTAGAAAAAAAAATTAAAACAGAGTTGGTGGCTTGGCTTGTGAACTTGGCAATACTCATCAATATCCCCTGGGGGCAAAGATACCTGCTCGACCACAGCTTTTGTTTTCAGCTAATTGATTTTCTTATTTCTTTTATATTTTTTTATGCACTCTTACTTATGACTTAATTCATATGAAGAAAGTCTTTATTGCATTCCAAAAACTTGTTAATGCTTAATAACTGCTTATCAAAAAATATGAAACAGATGCTAATTGATATTTCTCTGATGACAGGTATTTTGTGACTAGTGACACTTTAAAGATTTTTTAAGACAATGCACTAATGTTTTAGGAATTTGTTCCAATTGGAATTTAGCAAAGTAGTGCAATTAGACCTAACAAATTTGACAGTATTCAGTTGTTGAATGTGTTAGGTGTTAATGCTTATTTAAAGCTGAAAATTTGTCAGCTTGGGGCATAAATAGGTTTTAAATTTCTAAATGTACAGAATTTAGCACTTTAAGATATGTAATAAGTCCCTTTTTGTAAATTTGCCCTTCCTTAGAGATCCACATTTTAACGACTGATTACTTGAGTTTGTTATTTCTGCTTTCATACTCTTGTTCAATCCTTCAGGGGAACCAGCAGAAAGCTGATTATAGCTCATTCCGTATCTTAAAATGTGATGACCTTCGGATTTAGGTCCATCATGACTTTGACCTGAACCCAAACTGTTTGAATTTCTCCAAACCGGCAAACTAAATGGCCCTTTTTGGCCGCTTTACCAATGTGCCCAACCACTGACTGCTGCAGCCAACAGCCATTCACAGCTGCCACTATATTAAACTATAACTAAAGGCAAAACTTGTTTTTTTTAGTTTTGGATAGGTAGGAGATGGATTGGTACACCCATCAGTTTTTATTGCTATCTTTGTCTCTGTTAGGGAGATTCACCCTCTATATTTGTCCTGTTTACCATTCTTACTGAAAGTGAAAGTAAAAAAAAATCTCAAATTTTGGGTTGTCCCCAAAAAAATAATAGAAGGGAAATCTTCCAATGGGGACACTAGTTCTGGTGACCTGGGGGTCCCTAAGAGATTCCCTTAATTTGCAGGAATTTCCTCTTACTTCCTGTTTGGCTATGGGACAGGAAGTGAAGGTAAATCTCCCCAATGGGACAACAATGGCAACAATAAACCTTACAGGGATTATAACCCTTCCTTAGTCTATCCAAAATTAAAAAAAAAAAGTTTTGCCTATAGTTCTGCTTTAAGCTTCTGGCTGCCCAGAAAAAGGTTGGCATCCCAAATGATGTCACTGACCACAAGTTCTATAGGCGCTTCACTTAACATGGAATTTTATGGCATCCTTAAAGCAAATTTCTGAATAAATTGTATATTTTTAATGTTGCCCTTTAGCCACTTCAATACACTTTTACCCCCTTCCTGCCCAGGTCAATTTTCAAATTTAAGCCCTGTCACACTTTGAATGACAATTGTGCTGTCATGCAACACTGTACCCAAATTAAATCTTTATTTTTTTTCACACAAATAGAGCTTTTATTAGTGGTATTGAATAACCACTGGGTTTTAATTTTTTGCTAAATAAACCAAAAAGGGCCAACAATTTTGAAAAAAATAACGTTTTCTTTGTTTCTGGAATAAAATTTTGCAAATAAATAATTGTTCTTTATAAATTTAGGACAAAATGTATTCTGCTGCATTTCTTTGGTGAAAATAACCCAAATCAATGTTTATTATTTAGTCTGTAGGAAAGTTATAGAGTTCACAAACTATGGTATATATCTGAAAATCTATCAATCCTGATGTACCATGGACCTTTCTCATTTCTTGAGCCCAAAAATGTCAAGACTGCACAGATATCCCCCAAATGACCCCTTTTTGGAAAGTAGAGAGTTCAAGGTATTCAGTAAGAAGCATGGTGAGTTTTTTTGAAATTGTAACTTTTTGTCATAATTTTTTTTGGGGAAAATTAAGCAATTAAAAAAAGTTTCACAATTTTTTTTTTTTTATTGTTGCCAGTGCAGTACAGCTTCATCATATACAGTAACTGGTGTGGCAGTGATCAGTGACACTGACTGGTGACAGTCCAAAAACATAAATAGATAAATATATATTTTTTTAAATTGACATTTTTTTCATTTTTATACAATTTTTTTTAGCACACTGTGACCAAAGCGATATAATGTTACTAAAGTAACATTGTACTACTCTGGAAAAGTGCTCAAGATTTTTTTATACAATATGATTGCTTATAGCAGTGCATTTCACTGCTATAGGCAAGCCTTTTACTGAATACAATTGATTTATTCAGTGTGTTTTGTAGTGATTACTTTTGATTGGACACAGCTAATCACATTTTGTACAAAAATCAGTGCTCAATAAACTCTCTCCAGTCCTTTAA